TTTCTGTTATCTAAATGTGTTCTGTTGTACATAGGGTTTTCAGAGGTCTGCTATTTCAGAAGTGGATGGCCAATCCTTCTTCCTAGTCTGTCTCAATATGAATGTTCAGACTGAGAGAAGTATCAGACAGACCAGCAAGTTAAAGGTATATCCCTTATTGTGAAGTTAACTTTAGTGTCAGTGTTGTCCATGGAGCATCAAGAGAACAAACAGGTCTGTCTTGGAGAGGATGAAACCAAGTTATTCCTTGGTTTAAGCAAGGATTTTGAAGCTCCATCTCACGTGCTTTGGGTATACTGCCAGGATCTTAATGGACATTATGCTTTGAAAAGTAGTGGGTCAGCACAGGAGAAGCAGACCCTTGATGACACGTTGATTGTGGCAATAGGGTTTGGTGTGTAAGAGATGATGAGGTTGGCTCAGAATAAAGCAAGGTTCATAGCCACTGTTCACAGGGTCACTATGAGTGGTAGTTGATTTGACAGCACCACATAACAACAACAACAACAAAGGGGGTAAACAGCTGTGGGAGAAAAAAAGTACATTCAATCCAAATAAGGAGAATAAGTCAGATCAGCATCATCCAGAGCAACCTATGCTAGGTGAAGGAAAGTGTGAAGCAAAGTGTGAAGCAACGAAGACAAGAGCATGTTAATGAGAAGGCAAAGCCAAAGCCAGAAGTAATTTACAAATAAGTGAATGTGTTTTAATGCTATGTAAATGCGTAATGACATGTTAAAGGGAAACAGTTGAAAAATGAAGCATTTCTCTTTTGTCATTACAAATATTTGTTTTATATCATGTAAGTACTTTCAGAACACTTTACTATTAAGTGAGCCTAAATGATGACTATTTAAAAAAAAATGCTAAATGTATGTACTGATTTTTTTTTTAGTCACCTTATTGTACTTCTGACGTTTTACAGAATCTAATTTCCTGCTGATGTCTCTGCTGGTGGAGGCTTGAGGGTTAAGTTGTTCAATAATTTTATTGATTTGCCGGAGAGATGCCATACATGACCTGAAAAATAAGATAAATATCTAGCTCCCACTCTGATAACATTTTTATAAACACCAAAATGCTAAGATTGTTTAAAAAAAAAGACAAAATACACAACTAACTTTTCCGTCTTATTGAGTAAAAGATAAACTCGCCTAGAATGTATGATCTTACTGTCCACAAATACAACCTAATGGTTGTCAGAGGTTTAAGACTAAGAATGTTTTTCAATGATCAGGCTAATTTAAATCAGCTCACTCTCATCTGTAAATTGATTCATTCCATCAACATTCATAGGTGGTACAGGAGTTGCACTGCTAACCCAAAGGCCACACCACTCTGGTAGTTAGAATCCACTTGCCACTCCACATGAGAAGGATGGGCAATCTCCTCTCATCAAACTTGCACTAAACGGAGGGCAGCTATGACTTGACAGCACTGAGTTTGAATTTTGGTTTTTTCACTTAGTCAAGATACTATGTTGGAAAAAATTGTCCTTTTACATGAAGAAATACATGCAAGGATTCTTATCACCCATTGTAGAAATCTCTCCAAGTCTGGAAACATTCTAAATGTTTAAATATTTACTTAGGTAAATGATATATTTATGACACTATTTTTCTTTCACACAACAAATATACAACATTATTTTTATGAGCTAAGGGGAGAATCCATTTATAATAAAAAAGCTATTTTCTACTTTTTAAAAGTTGACTTTGTCCCACTTGACTTTTACAAAAGACATCTATTAGTGCATGCTTTTGTTAATGAAATCTGAAAACTGTTTTCACTTTCATGAAGAAAGGCAAAACATGAAACTAGCGTCAAACAGTTTTGCAGTAGTTATAAAGTCAGCAGGACCCTGAGCATTGAAAGTGATGTTCCCAAACTCCTGCCTCGGACACTTCATCAGAGCTATTTGATATGAGAGGTGGATTATTTGGGGGGTTTCTTGTTAGGTAGCATCAAGTCGAGTACGTCTCACAGCAACCCTATGAACAGCCAACCTGAACCCTAAACATCCTCATCAACTCTAACTAGGGCCCATTCCTGAAGTCACCATGTCTGTCGGGGTCTTCCTCTCCTTCACTGATTTTTCATCTTTCCAAGCAAGACATCCCTTTCCAAAGAACAGCCTCACCTAACTACATGTCCAAAGTATGAAAGATGAAACTTTGTCATTTTTGCCTCCAAGGTGCACTCTGACCACTCAAATATGGTTCCCATATAATTACTGCTTCTTTGCTTTACACTTCAGCTTATAAAATGTTTCAGAAAGCAGGGGGAAAACTACACTCCTAAAATAGACAGAAATTTGTAGTTTTTAACTTTTAAAATGGAAATTCCATTTTCTTGACACATGAGCAATCAATGACTGTGTACTCTAAATTTCAGAATAAAAGTTGTTTTCTGTGAAAGTGGCTCCCACAGTGGAAGCCAGCCTGTGACTCTGCAGTACTCTCTTAATAGTCACCTCCGCAGAAAGGGCCTCACAAGTAGAGCTCCTAAACAAACCTAAAGATCAGACCACATCTATATAACGGCACATGCTGCCAATGCGTCCAACAGAACACATCAGGGTAACTGTCAGGACAGCTAGTGAGAAGGGACTGTTGATGACTAACACCTCAATACACACAATACAACAGACCCTCCTTTCTCTTTCTCTCACCCCTATTTTAGCCCACAGTCCAGAGCCTCCTCCAATTATGTATTATACTCAACAGATCCCAAGACCACTGCTCCTCTAAATCACAAAATAATCTCATTTTAGCCTTAGTACCTTCACAGAACTTCAATTTTACTTAGAGGCAAAGTAAAATGGAAAAAGGAAAAGGAGCAAGTACTCTCTTTCTTCCAGTTACTTTCTTTCATCCTATAAATTAGAATAGGAAAAATTGACACAGGATTAAATATTCAACCTGGGAACTCAAAAATTTCAAATTTATTGTCATTGAGTCAGAAATGACTCACAGATGACCCTCCATTGTATTAACAGTGCAACTCCCTACACATTAAGCCACCAGAGCTCACAACTTATGGTCAGGAAGTTAAAAAAAAGAACTACAGAATAAAAAATAATTTGAGGACAAAGGATGTGCTCCTAATACCTTGAGTGGGAAACATCAAAACTGTAACTACACTTGTTTTGGGAACTTCTTTATGCACCTGTTTCTAAATTCACAGAATAGGACATTTCTTTAGGCTATCATGGATGAAATAGAGCTCTGTGAACTAATGTATAATATACAGCATTTTTCCTGAGGAAAAGACTGGTGTTCAAACACAAGATTACTAACTGTCGTTATTGATACTTATCCCCCTAAACAAGTTCTAGACATTTCTGAAACACCAAAGCATTCTATTTTTCAAGCTTTTCACAGACTCACATGTGGTCATCCAGGACTGCCTGATACTCTTTTTCTGCGTTGGCAAGCTGGGCCGCACGACTGGCTTCATGGATGGCATCATCCACCTGCTGAAGCACACCCTGCTCCAGCACTTCCTGGTCATAGACATCCACACCCAAACCCTGCAGCTCTAGGGCCTGGGCACTTGGCTCCACCGCCTGAATCTGATGCCTATCAATTTGCAGCAGGGCTGGACCTCTCTCTGGAACATCCACTGGATGGCCGTCACGAAAAGTGGACAGCCCATCATCAGAGAAGTAAGATGGGAAGTTTTCTTCCAGCCTTGTGTCTAGAACACCATTTTCTTGCTTGGTTGCCAAATCTTCATCATTGTTGACCCACTGATTTTGTAAACAGTCTTGCTCCTGAGTTTTATGTGGGTAGGATATATTCTCATTTGCCATCTCTAGACTATCTAAAAGAAAAAAACAAAACAAGTTATAAATCTTTTGGTTATAAAATATTCATATTTAGTTCATTTAGCAAGTTAACTTAAATCTCAGAAGATAAAATAATAATCACTCAATTACATAAATTCAAGTTTCTACACACTCATTTTCTTACTAGGACAAAAACTATATGTTTCTTAAGTAATGATGTTAAAAAATATCAACCACAAAATAAAAAAAAGAAGAAGAAATGCAGTATTATCAACAAAGGACATGTAATGAGCAGGCTAAGAAAGTGAGCAACCAGAGTCCTAAGTGAGTATTACTAAGTGAGTTTGTGCCCAGAGCAGTTAAGAGACCTAGCTACTGTTTGCCAGCTTATCAGTTTCATAGATCATGGCACACATGCTGTATATTTCAGTAGCAAGATAACTGTAATACACAGCCTGAATGAAGTCAGCAAAGAGCCTGTTCATGAATCTGACATTAGAAATTTCTCAGCTGAACATTTGCAATAAACAGACACCAGAAACTTCTCAGCTGAACATCTGCAATAAACAGACACCAGAAGAATGATCCACCACACACACTGATGGTGGGAATATAAATCTATGAAATCACTCTTAGGGAAATCTGAAAACACTTAACAAAATATTAAATACATACAATCTATCTATGAATTCCAATTCTAGATATTTATTCCAAAGAAATACACCATCTGTTCAAGAATGCTTACCTTTCATATTTTTAATAGTTTACTGGGGATATTGTTGGTGATGTTAGATGGATCTTAGCTGAAAGCAGGGAATACCAGAAGAATGTCTATCTGTGTTTCATTGAATACGCAAAGGCGTTTGACTATGTGGATCATAACAAACTGTGGCTGACTCTGAGAAGAATGGGAATCCCAGAACATTTGATAGTGCTAATGCGAAACCTATACTTGAACCAGGAGGCAGTAGTCAGAACAGAGCAGGGTAACACTGCATGGTTCAAAATTGGGAAGGGTGTACGCCAGGGATGTCCTGTCTCCATGCCTTTTCAACATGTATGCAGAGCAGATTATCCGGGAGGCTGGGCTCTATAAGGAGAAATGTGGCATTAGGATTGGTGGAAGATCTATTAAAAATCTGCGTTATGCAGATGACACAACCATGTTTGCTGAAACTGAGGAGGACCTCATGCACTTGCTGTGGAGGGTCAAGGACTGCAGCCTTCAGTATGGACTGATTCTCACCACTGGACCAATTGGCAGCGTCAGGATGGATGGCGAAGAGATTGAGATTGTTCACAGCTTCAGTTTGCTCGGCTCCACAGTCAACACTCTTGGCACCAGCAGTCAGGAAATCAAAAAGCATATTGCGATGGGAAATTCTGCTGTTAGGGACCTCTCTAAAGTACTCAAGAGCAATGGTGTCTCTTTGGAGACTAAGGTGCATCTGATACAGGCCATGGTCTTTGCAATCACTTGTTATGCATCAGAGAGTTGGACAATGACTAGGGAGGACAGAAGGAGAATTGATGCCTTTGAGCTGTGGTGCTGGAGAAGAGTATTGAATGTACCATGGACTGCCAAGAAAACAAACAGATTCATCCTGGAGAGGAGTAAACCAATCAACTCCTTGGAGGCAAGGATTCTGGGGCTTCATCTGACATACTTTGGGCATGTTGCCAGGATGGACAGGTCCTTGGAGAGGGACATCATGCTTGGAAGGGTGGAGGGGAAGACCCTCTATGAGATGGATTGATTCAGTGACTGGGGTAATCAGGATGGGTGTGTCAGAGGCAGTGCGGTTGGCGCAGGATAGAGCAGAGTTTAGGGCTGTTGTGCATAGGGTCGCTTCACTATGAGTCGCAAACGACTCGATGGCACATAACAACAACAACAATGGGGTCATTATGTGGTTCCAGTGATACTAATAGGCACAGAAAATTAATAACAATATTAACTATATTACCTGTATAAGTATTGTTTTAAGTACCATCACGCCAACTATGACTCGTACTGACCTTACAAACAACAGATGTGAACCTTGCTCTAGTCTGCACCATCCTTGCAATCCACTGTCATGCTCAAGACCATTGCGGTAGTCACTATGCCAGTCTATCTCTTTGAAGGTCATCTTCTTTTTCACTGACCTCTACCTTTCTCAGCAAACCTCTCTCCAAAGACAGGTTTTTTCCTGAAAATACGAACAGAGTGAGAGCAAGTTTTGCCATCCTTAGCTCTAGGGAACACTATGCTTACATTTCCAAACAGATCTGTTTCTGTTATTCTGGCAGTCTATGATATATTCAACAATCTTTGTCAACACCACAATTCAAAGATATGATTATTCATTCATTCTCCAACTTTCAGATGCACAGGAAGCAACTGAAAATACCATGGTTAGAATCAGGCACACTTTAAGTCTTTAACATCTTTCTTTTCAGAACTGTGGAGAAGTCCTTGGCAAATCTGTCCAGGACAACGTGTCTTTTGATTTCTTGGCTGATGCTACCATGGGTCTTGACTGTGGATCCAAGTGAAATGAAATAAGTAATTGACAACTTCAATCTTTTCTCCATCTATCTCATGAATTCCCATTCTTTTCAATGTTAACCATATCTGTAATGATCCATACAGTCAAATGCCTTGAAGAGTCAATAAAACATAAATAGATATCCTTCTGGTATTCTCTGCTTTCAGCCAAGATCCATCTGACATACGCAATAATATCCCTAGTACAACAGCGTCTTCTAAATCCAGCTTGAATTTCTGGCAGTTCTCTGTCAATGTACTGTTCTAGTCACTTTTGGATAATCTTCAAGATTTTACTTGCATGTGATAGTGTCTGGCAATTTCCCCATTCTGTTGGATCACCTATTTTGAGAAGGGAACAAATATGGATCTCTTTCAGTCAGCTGACCATGTAGCTGTCTTCTGAATTTCTTGGCATAGACTAGTAAGCACATCCAGAGCTAGCTACATCTGTTCATTGAATGCTTCAACGGGTGAGGCCTTGTTCTTTGCCACTGCCTCAGGGAAGCTTGAACTTCATCACTAATGGTTTGGATAATATTCTACTTCTTGAAATGGTTCCACATCAGTCAATTCTTTTGAGTACAATGACTGTGTATTCCTTTCATTGTCTTTTGATACTTCTTGTATCATTCAAGATTTTGCCCATAGTATAATTCAAGGTATGAATTTGTTTCTTAATTCTTTCAGCTTTAGAAATACCAAGTGAGTTCTTCTCTTTTTATTTTCTACCTCCAGCTCTTTGAACACTTCATTAAAATACTTTGTCTTCTCAAGCAGCCCTTGAAAATTTTCTGCTTTTATTTCACCATTTCTGTATCCTTTCTCCATACCTATTCAATCTGTATGTTGAGCAAATCATTAGAGAGGCTCAACTTTATGAAGAGTGTGTTAATAGGACCAGAGGAAAATACATCAAAAATCTGCATTATACAGATGACACAATCTTGCATACTGAAAGCAACAAGTACTTGAAACGCTTGCTGAAGATCAAAGACTATAGCCTTCAATATGGATTACATCTCAACATCAAGAAAATAAAAATCCTCAGCACTAGGACAACAGGCAACATTACAATAGATGGAGAGAAAATTGATGTTGCCAACAATTTATTTGTGCTTGGATCCACAATCAATACCGTTAGCAAAAGGAGTCTAAATCTAAAGATGTATTGCACTGGATAAAGCTCCTGTCAAGGAACTCTCTACAGTGTAAAGGAGCAGTAATATAAGTTTAAAGACTAATGTATATCTGATTCAAGCCATGGTCTTTACATATACTTGCCATGGATCTGAAAGTTGAACAATGACTAAGGATGTCAGAAGAATCACTGATGTCCTTAGAGCCAAAAGAACAACAACAAAAAAAAATGTCTTGGAAAAAGTGTTAACAATGGTTCCTTGGAAGCAAGGATGGCAAAGCCTTCTCTCACATATTTTAGGCATGCTGCTAGGAGGTCCATGGAAAAGAACATTGTGTTTGGAAAGGAGGAAGGTCAGAAAGGAAATAGGCTTCAACAAGATGGCCTGGCGGTACTTTTAAAATGAACTCAAGGTTATCAGAGATGATGAAGATGCTTTAAGATAGGGTAGGGTACCAATTCATTATTGACAGGGTCACTATAAGTCATAGTCGACTAGACAGCACCTAAGAACAACAACATCATGATGTTGCCTATTGGTCCTTATGCATACATAGGAGTCCTATTAATACAACTACTATTTAAATATACACTCCAATCACCAACTCAAAGATAAAGAAATCGACAATTTCTGCCAACTTCTGCCAGAGGAAAATGAGCATACAATCAAGATACATTAATAACAACTGGTGACTGGAAACAAAACAGACAGACTGGTAGTTGGAAAATATTGCCTAGGTGATAGAAACTAAGTGGAAGACAAATGACAGAATTCTGTACAATGATTTATACAACACAAGTATTTTAAAAAAACATACATAGCAACTGAATATGTGGACTTAACGTTATGGTCTATATAGAAATCAGATTAAATACATCTATGGAAAAAGGCGATGGATCAACTCATTATCAGAAGTCAAAATCGGGCCAGGGACTAACTGCAACAGACTATCAACACACATATACAATTTCAAACTGAAGGTGAAGAAAATTAAAACAAGTCCACAAGAATAAAAATATTACTTTGAATGTATTCCAAAAAAATTTAACACTATTTTATGAATAAATTTGACACATTAGTCACTAATTACCAAAAACCAGATTAAGCTGTGGAATGATGGGGGGGTGTCAGAACCCTTAAAACTATCTTAATTGTGGACATGGGGTCTTGCAAATTGCAAATTATCAACAGCTGTAGGACCAATATAAGAGAGAGCATTCAGCATGAGAAGTACCCTGGTGACAGTGGTAGAGAAAGGGTGGTGATATGGCACTGCTGTGAATAGACTGTGACAAAGTGTAACCAGAGGAACCCTGGAGAGGTTCTGCTTGATAACTAAAACTTGAAAAGCT